TCAAGAGTGTGTTTGAGGGCATTGCTAAAGCAGGAAAGCAAACCCATCTGAATCAGATCTACACAGAGCTCTACATCACAGAGGGGGGGGCTATAGAGCTCGATGAGGAGCATGAGGTCACACAGATTGAAGCAGCTTCCAGGAAAGCAGACAGACCAGAAATAGCCATCAGACAAGAAGACGTCTTTAAAGTTCCACCTGGAAGAGACCAACCAATCAGAGTAGTGCTGACAAAGGGAGTGGCTGGCATTGGGAAAACAGTCCTAACACAGAAGTTCACTCTGGACTGGTCTGAAGGCAAAGCCAACCAGGACATCCACTTCCTGTTTCCCTTCACCTTCAAGGAGCTGAACGTGCTGAGACATAAAGAGTTCAGCTTGGTGGAACTTGTTCATCACTTCTTTCATAAAACCAAAGCAGCAGGAGTCTGCAGCTCTGCAGAGTTCCAGGTTGTGTTCATCTTTGATGGTCTCGATGAGTTTCGACTTCCTCTGGACTTCCACAACCAGGAGCCCCTGACTGAGGTCACAGAGTCCAGCTCAGTGGACGTGCTGCTGACCAGCCTCATCAGGGGGAATCTGCTTCCCTCTGCTCGCCTCTGGATAACCACACGACCCGCAGCAGCCAATCAGATCCCTGCTGACTGCGTCGACATGGTGACAGAGGTCAGAGGCTTCACAGACGAGCAGAAAGAGCAATACTTTAGGAAGAGGTTTAGCAAGGAGGAGACCCAGGCCAGCATCATCATCTCCCACATCAGGAGCTGCCGGAGCCTCCACATCATGTGCCACATCCCGGTCTTCTGCTGGATCTCTGCTACAGTTCTGGAGAAAATGCTAATGACCAGAGAGGGGGGGCAGCTGCCCAGGAGCCTGACCGAGATGTACATCCACTTCCTGGTGGTTCAGGCCAAAGTGAAGAGGGTCAAGTATGATGGAGGAGCTGAGACAGATCCACACTGGAGTCCAGAGAGCAGGAAGATGGTGGAGTCTCTGGGAAAACTGGCTTTTGATCAGCTGCAGAAAGGAAACCTGATCTTCTATGACTCAGACCTGACAGAGTGTGGCATCGATATCTCAGCAGCCTCAGTGTACTCAGGAGTGTTCACACAGGTCTTTAAAGAGGAGAGCGGGCTGTACCAGGACAGGGTGTTCTGCTTCATCCACCTGAGTGTTCAGGAGTTTCTGGCTGCTCTGCACGTCCATCTGATCTTCAGCAGATCTGGAATCAACCTGCTGGAAGAACAAACAACCTCCAAGAGACTAAGCTAAAACATCTCCATCAGAGTGCTGTGAACATGGCCTTACAGAGTCCAAATGGACACCTGGACCTGTTCCTCCGCTTCCTCCTGGGTCTTTCTCTGCAGACCAATCAGAGGCTCCTACGAGGTC